CTTTCCGTCGTTTCCGGTAACAGTATCATCAAGGTGGTCTTGCTTAAACCAAGTGGGCTGGCCGAGACGGAAGAAGGGAAGGATGTTAAGGTTGAGGAAGGAGTACAGATTCGCTGGTGCGAACCAGTGGGGAACAGGGGAGGAATGAAAGAAGGAAGAGTCCAGTGGACAGTAGACTTGGAGGCTCGCGCGTCTAAAACTTTAACCCTGGAATGGGAAGTCTACCATCCACCTGGTCAACGCTGGCAATACGAACTTCAAGCCCCTGGTAAATGAACCTCAGCGCTACAAAGTCGGAGCGGACCACACGAAAACACATGGAGAAGGGCATCGAAAAGATAATGAAAATACATTAGCTGAATTTGAATAAATAATCACTGCTTCTTTACTGTCGTAATTTGTTGGTTCTTAATTATTGCAATCCAGTTGGTAACCTTAAGCGGCATCCATCAGCGCCGTTACCTACATCCCAAACTTTCCAGCCTCACCGTACCCCAAGGTTCGCCCTCGACTTGACTCTCCCACAACGGCTTTGAACGGCCTTGGCCGTCTTACACTCTTTTAAAACGACTTTCTTTAAGATATAGTCCGGTCAATCATCAATTTCGTGTATATCCCATGCGTGCCTCTACCTCTCTGGGTGGGCGTCGCATCAATGTCTCTTTTCTCCTCCTCGGCATCTTTGCTCTTACACCTCAAGTCTCGTGCCAACCTTCAAAACCCGCAGATACTGGTGTAGATGCTCGAGCCGTGCAGGATTTCAACGTGAACGCTGCCGACATCTTCCCAGTGTCTCACAATAAACGCTTAATTGGTGGCCTTCTCTCTACTGTGCTCGATGCGGTTTTACCAGGTGGTGCGACAACGACAACGACCCAACAAACGCCAGCAGCATCGTCCAACCAAGCCCCCGCTCCGGCGACATCTCCGACCACCACTCCGCAGAACCAACAAACTACAGCTGGTTCTTCTCCGACCACTGCAGGGAACTCTCCAGCGACTTCTCCTGGTGCAACCAATCAGCCGGCTAATCCTGGTGCAACTTCGGATGTTGCGTCCAATACGCAAGGCTCTGGCAATACTTCTTCCCCTGGCAAAAATGGAGGGTAGGTTCAATCAGAACTCGATATAAATGATGATTTGTGCTAAATGATGTATACAGAGGAAGCGGCCAAAGCTCGGTCAGTGGTGCTG